GTTTATGTTAATGACATAGTAATGACAGGAGATGTCTCGATTGAAGAAGTTGTTAGCACATGAATTTGAGATCAAAGATCTAGGAAAATTGAAGTACTTGTAGGGAATTGAGATTGCTAGATCCAAAAGAGGAATCTTTATTTCTCAAAGGAAGTATAATCTGGATCTTTTGAAAGAAACTGGTATGACAGGTTGCAGACCCGCAGAATCCCCCATTGAAAGCAATCACAAGTTACAAAGCAGAGTTGGAGAATCAGTTCATAAGGAGAGATATCAGAGGCTGGTTGGAAGACTCATTTATCTCATCCCACACTAGACGAGACAGCCTATTCAGTTAGCCTGGTGAGTTAGTTCATGCATGATCCCCAAGATCCTCATATGCAAGCTATCTTTCACATTTTGCGGTATCTAAAGTCTGCTCTAGGGAAAGGTTTACTTTTCTCCAAACATGATCACCTCCAAATAGAAGCCTTTACAAACACGGATTGGGCTGGATCTCTAGATGACAGAAGATCAACATCCGGTTACGGTACGCTCGTAGGAGGAAACTTGGTTACTTGGAGAAGCAAGAAGCAAAGTGTAGTTGCTAGATCAAGTGCAGAGGCAGAATATAGAGCTATGACCCAGGGTGTTTGCGAACTGCTTTGGCTACAAAAGCTACTACATGAATTGAGACTGTATGAAAAAGGAAAACTTTCCTTCTACTGTGACAATAAAGCTGCCATCAGTATAGCTAATAATCCAGTCCAGCATGACCGAACAAAACATGAGGAAATTGATCGACACTTCATTAAAGAAAAAGTTACAACTTGTGTTTTGAGTTTGTTTCATGTGCCATAGGAAAAATAGCTAGCTGATGTGTTTACCAAAGGTCTCAACAAGCGAACTTTCCATACTTTGAGTTGCAAGTTGGGCATGTGCGACATCTTTGCACCAACTTGAGGGGAGCATTGATTAGCATGATTCAAGGAAACTTGATTTAGGAGTGTTGATTAGCATGATTTCCGGAGATTTGAATATATTTAGGAGATCTGATTTTATTTGATTTGATTTTGATAGCTAGATTGATTGTATAAATTTATTTTATTTCCTTAATTAGCATTAGGAGCTTTGTATAAATTCCCTTGCTCATGGAATGTAAAAATACACAAAAATACAAGAAGCCTTTTCTTCCTCTCAAAATTTATATATATATATATATATAGGTCATTGTATCTAGCTTAGGATTGAAACCTATATATCTATTGGCGTATGCCGATTGGCCCCTCTTTGCATAGTGAGGGAGCAACAGAATAAGAAATATGAAGTTAAAATGGTAGTGCTGAAGAGAGTGGTGGCTAAGGGAGGAAAAAAACCATATCCTGTTTCCTTTTTAATCGTGTTATTTCTGGGTACTTAGACAAATGCTAATATGTATCATGCTGCTTTATCATCTCTTTCCAAAGAGGAAATTGGATATACTATTAAACTTGTTTGGAAATACGGCGTTGTAGTTATTTATTGAACTTCAAAATGGCCATACTCCCGTGTAGAGCTAAACCTAAACAGCACCTTCAAGACACCCTATACTTTTCTGTTCCAGATAGCACAAGTGTACAGATATTATTTCCAAATAATAAAACTTTTGTTGATGACAACGTTTCTTTACCATGTATTATTTAAGCAACAAACACGAAATGGTTAGTCATGCAAAAACAAAAAAAAATGAAAACTGAATGGAAGCATTCATTAAGGTTTAAAAGGTTTTCTATTTTTCTCCCAATATACATGAAGCACAAAGGTAAGTAGGTAACTCCAATTAACGTTGGTAGTAGCATCATATGTTGTGATATGATACTTTAAGAGACCGAAAGTTTAAGGTGTTTGGACAGTGCTATATCTGTTTGAGATGAATCTTGATTCATAGAATCTCCAATTAACAATGTCTGAGACACTAGAGAAAAGATTTAAGTAATCAGCTTAACATATCTTAAGTACTAAATCAGTTTCTCTAATTGTCACCATGAAAAAAAATTGCTAGGACTAGTTTTAATTGAACCCTCCATCATTTAAGATGACTAAACATTTAAAGCAGCCATGCATTTCTTTTTCCTTTCCCCCTAACTCTTCTTATGAGCTTCTAAATTTATGTACGACACACTCCCATACTCTTCTAGTTCATAGCAAAGCAACTTTCAGATCATTTAGACTAAAAATGATAACAAAAAAGACACAATACTACCTTAAAACACTGTAATTAGAACAAGACGTTCACATGTCAAGTAACTCAGAAGGTTATGATAAAACGACCTAAGGGGGTTGAAACTCCTAGATGCAACTATTACTGAAAATTGTAAATTAGATAAAGCATATACAGTACATCATACACAAGATCTAAAAGGAGAAGAAAGATCTTACAAACGAAAAAGCTTCTCGTGAAAGCATCTCTTCCTGAAGGTCACGAAAAAGAAAAAGGTTATATAACTGAAAATCCTAGAAAACAGGACCAAAGGGAACAGCAAGACTTTCTGCAGTAGATGAATTTAGAGCGCCACATAGGTATAAAAGTTTAAAACAGTAGATCATAAAGAGAGAGAGTTCAAACATAAGGCCTAAGCTTCTTTAAGTTCACTTAATTATCAATAAGTAAAATTAGAACTTAGAAGGTAACCAGGCAGAGATTATCACAGTAAATGTAGTGCAAGTCAACTCTTAAGTGAAATTTCTCAATCTTCATAATTTTGTTTAATCCAACTCCTATCTTACTTTAGTGATGAAATATACATGACTTCTAACATCATGACCTCAAACTTTTTGATGATATCAGCTCCAGCTTTCTTTCTTAAATTTTCCGCTTTGCAGGAGAGATTCATGAAACAGTAGGATATCCTTCACAAGTACTTAAGCCAGATGATCATGAAACAATATCATGATAACCAGCGTATCCGAATGACTTCCATTATGAGCAACGGATGGAGGAACACATTTGCACTACCTATAAATTCAACAAACCAATCAATTCAAACTTAAAGAAGAAGACACCTAATAAGACTTGTTGAACACCGTATAACCAAGCTTCCTCTATATGTCAACCTTGTTTGCCAGCCCAAAACATGGGGCGAGGGAAATGGTCTGGACTCTCAAGAGCTAAAAAGGAAGCTAATTATGTAAACCTAATGTTATAGCATAAAATGTGGCGAACTGACATCAGAAAACAGCTATTCAGCCAGCACAAGCTAATATGCAAAACTTCATCTGATCACACGAGGATCAGGAACCTTCAGCAAAAACTAGAGACAACTTATCTACAAAGAAAACCAAATCACCTCTCCTCACACATGTCAACGGTGACAATCTCATAGCATGCTACATTACTGAAAGCAAACTCATTAACTCTATGCAAGATTGAGCACAACCGACTGCACTAGAGAATTAAGAAACAAAAAGAACCTTAAATACAAGCATTATTTAATACGACGCCATAAAAAATATCAGTGATCTAATCTGACCTAACAGTTATTCAAATTTGTAACTGATCTGGATGAATAAACCATGCAAAGGCATCTACTAACCTAAGTAAATGGCAAGACCAATGCTACAAACTATGACGGTTTCACAAGCCAAAATACTAGTATAAATTATAGCTAAACCTCATGCAAGATCACATAGAACCAGAAGACAGTAACGAACAATATAACAGATAGAAAACAATACCCTTAATGAAATAAACACACACTTTCTTAAGAGTAAGCCACATACACATGATTGTATTACTTATTAGCAACCATTCAAAAATTAGATGAACTTTACACAATATACAGTCATGCTTTTGCATGGTTGTTGTTCTTGACCAATCATCATTGCTCGCACATCAGAAAATGCTGTCCGTTATTTCAAAGAGAGATCAAATGCAAGAAACAAAGACATTTTTTTAAACCCTATTACCAACTAGAGAAATGATTGAATGCACTTATGCATGACTAAAGGAGAAATATACCAATGACAACAAATCCTTCAGGAGGAATGAATGACATCATAACCCATAGCTCTACTACATATGGAGTATGTTGTAATAAAGGTAACTACGGTATCTTGAGTTTAGCAAGCCACTTAGTAGTTCAAACATTTTGATTTCTAACATCTCTCATCATTTAGCCCTCAAATGATAATTCTATATATAGGCACATGAATAAGCATATGCAATCAGTAAACTAATGAGAAACCCAGGAAAGAGAGGCTGAGGGCAAAAGCAAATGCCCTAATTAATCGGATGCTTAGAAACAGCATGCCCACAAATTGTCTCATAATTGCATGGACATATATAGTTCACTAAATAGATACTTACACGGAGCTGTAGAACACAAATCAATACACCATGAGACCCATAAAGTTCACAAGCACAACACATTTTAAAAAGGAAAAGAAAAACACAACACATTTTAAGAAGGAAAAGAAAATCAAGACTGTAAACATTAGTATGAAACTGGATTCACTAGTTACAACAACATACCCAATAAAATCCCACTAATGGGGTCTGGGGAGACTAGAGTGTATACAAACCTTACCCCTATCCAAAAAAGGGTAGAAACATTACCCCTAATCCAAAAAAGGGTAGAGAGACTATTTCCAAGAGACTCTAAATTCACTAGTTAGATATTCATAAATGTAGATGTTACTACTATAATTAGCAACGCAGAGACACAATTCAAAAGTATAAAAATGGCCTTTCATTCATCATTTCATTTGTATACACAGGCTAACATAAACTCTAACACTATAAAAGAACTAAGAAAACACGATTGATTTCATACTGGAGAAACCTAATAATTTCTATGGAATCTAAAAAAAAAAAAAAAAAAAAAAAA